TGGGGGACCTGTAGGCCTTCCTGGAGACCTTCAGCATTCCCAGGGCATCTTCTGAAGGCGCCCTCTGAGGGGCTCCCTTTGCAGATAAAGAAAGCAGGTGCGCACTGTGAGGCAAGTATTTCAAGCTAGACTCCTAACCCAGCCCCAGCCTCGCTCCTGCTGTGCCCCATAGGCCCGAGCTGCTGAAAAGCATTCCAGGAAAGATCACAGTTCTATCTGCAGGAGGTTTTTTAGAGGATAGACTGCTGTCTTCTTCGGGAAGTCCTTTGATGCAGGCTAAATTCTCTTCACTTTTTTTTGTTTTCTTTTTATTTTCTTTTGTTTCGTTTTTTCTTTTTCCCCTTGCAAGTATACCCTGCCTCTTTGTCTGAAAGGTTTGGGCTTTCTGAAAAGCTTTTGCTAAGTTTTTTCTTCTGGGCCCCCACCTCAACTGGGCTGGGGAGATGTAATTACCATCCGGGACACTGGATTAGCTCGGAGCAGAGAGGAGGGAACAGACCTCATTCAGGAGGGGCTGAGGAAGGAGGGGCCTTGATCCTGCCGGCAGCCTGGTTCTAATCTTAGTAACAACAGATCCGGATTTCCTGGAGGGATCAGATGTCTGTGTCTCCCCGCTGGGCTGACACCAAACATGTGGAAGAAATTCAGATCGGCAAGCTAACCCAGGTTGTACCTCTGGGTCATCTGGCCCAGCCCATTCAGAAAGTGGGAACACTTTCTGAGATCTTAGCAAACTCCTTGAAAACTCCATAAACCTGGAGACAAAGTCAGTGTAGAGAACAGGACCAGCAGTCTTTCACAATTCAGGTTCTTGGCTTCCCCGTGTCATCACCCTCCAAAATTATGGCTTTAGCCCGGGGATAAACTATAGTATTTCCTGGGTGAATTACTGGCCATCCAGAAATATTTATAAATAATTTCCTCTACAAATTCTGTACTTTTTAATAGGGTAAAATTTGTGTACTGTGACATGCATAGACCTCATGTGCATAATTTGATGGGTTTTGAAAACTCTACCCACCGCCATCAAAATGAAGAACATGCCTATCGCCCCCCAAAAATGTCACAATGTTCTTTCTACCTTCTAGTCAGTCTTCCAGTTGGGCCTGAGGCAAGCCCAGGTCAAGTGTCTAGCAATACAGATTCATTTTGCTGGTTCTTCAAATATAGGGAGTCATGGCACGGGCAGGAGGTGGACAAGATGCTGCTCCTTACCTTCCTGTAGGCTCCATTCCTGGTGGTCCAATCCTGTTTCTCTCTCCAATTCCCTCTTGCTAGCCTGCATAGAAAAACCCCATAATATTGAGTCATTATTGTAGTCAGGGTTTCTAAGGAAAAGATGTAATAGAGGACACATAATTCATATGATTACTTTATAATAGTCACCCAAAGAGTCAAATGCAAAAGAATGTGGGAAGTCTGCTCACACACTAGGGACCCAAAGAATCCAGATAAGGGCCTGGATCCTACCGCAGTGTCCTCTAGGAGTCCAGCTGGAGGCCAGGAGCCTGTGACAATGTCACCCTGTAACAGTGAAAGTCTGTATCAAGGATCTGTACTGGGAAGGCCTAAAGGCCAGTGGTGAACGCTGGAAAGTGTATGCCAGGGGATGAAAGGTCTCTGCCAGCAGGCTGAGAAATCTGCATTGGAGCCAGGAAGGAATGCTCAAAGGAAGGACCAGAGATCCCCTGAAAAGAACCACAGCCATTCTCAGTGACAATGAAGACCTGAGCTCTTCCAGGGATGAGAATAGGTGAGCTCACAGCAGGAAAATCAGTGTGACAGGCTTCTCCAGGAGAATCAACAGCACATCTTCTTCCCCTCTAGTTCTCTTTTTATGCTGTTGGCAACAATCCTTAGGTGGGCCATCCACACCCAGCACCATGCTGTTCCAGCTTAACTGGGTATTACAAGTTGACCATTAGTAGATCCACCACAGTCCCCTAGACCCACGATGTGGACTTGAACCCTCAGGTTTCCTCTTCTGTTGTCAAATCAGAAGTCACTAATTTAGCTTCCTGCCTTAGTGAGGCCTGGGTTCCTGAGCGCTATTTATTCTGTCCTTCCAGACCCCGTGCAAACCTCTCGGTTACCTCAGGATGGCTTTCTCCTATAATTATCCCAGATGAGTTTGGCTAGACACATGGCCTTTTCTTTTTTGTCTTCTCCCCAGCTGAGCTGTTGAACTGTTGGTCAGTCCTGTACAAACTAACGAATCTATTTGTGTATATTTCATTCTGTGATCTTGCCAGGCAGGGATTTTCTACATCTATGCTAACGTGAAAAACTTGACACTGACTACAGGTTCGTGTCAGAACTTATACATACAACTTATACAGGGGGTGGGAGAGATAGCTCAATAGAATAAGTGCTTGTGTGGCAAGTGCACGGTCCTGAGTTTAATCCCTAGTTCTGGAAAAGAAGAAGAAGAAGAAGAGGAAGAAGAGGAAGAAGAGGAAGAAGAGGAGGAGGAGGAGGAAGAAGAAGAAGAAGAAGAAGAAGAAGAAGAAGAAGAAGAAGAAGAAGAAGAAGAAGAAGAAGAAGAAGAAGAAGAAGAAGAAGAAGAAGAAGACTTAAATGGGAATTTAATGCTACCAATGACTAGTTCTGTTTGGAGTCTTGCCCTTGTGTGTCCGTGGCAACTCGGTGGTCCCAGGGGAAGCTGTGTTCCAAAGAGATCTCTGGGTTGCCAACTGCCTGGGGTCCCCCGTGTACAGGCTTCCCTGAGGGACCAGGGCATCTTGCCTCTGTCTCTCTGCATGCCCGTATTCTATGTTCTTGCAGAACTCTCAAAGGTGCTCAAGAGAGTCTATATTCCCAGCATCCAGTGAGGCCTGGCTCATAAAGATGACAAAATAAAAGAATCCCTGGAGTATATTAAGTGAATCTGGGGATAAATGAGAGGTTGAGTCCTTCCTTCCCTTACCAATCCACTACAGATTCTCTAAGGACCCAAGGTTAAGAGCTTCCCTATCCTTAGAAAATCTTGGGTCCAGGGTAACAGAAACCAGAGGAAAATACATCACCTACTGAAATTTTCCAGTGTCACTTAACTGTGGATGCCTTAGATGCCACCCTTCAACATTCTCATCTCATCTGCGTATCCCCATTCTGGACAATCTGAGTTTGCTCCCCAGGTCCCCTTTCAACATCCTGTCATTTTTCTCTGCCCAAGGCTTCCTCTGGGTACCCAGCTCACTGCATTGCATAAAGTGAAGAAGAACTCATCTTAAGGGCTTTGTTTTCTGTGTGCTCCCTTCTGAGGCCACAATCCCACCAGGAAAGAAGCCTGTTTCCTCAGCCCTCTGCCTCCGGTTCTTTACGCCTTCCACTCTGCCCCTGAATCTGTGTCTCTGGGTCTGTTCTGCCTTCAGTAAGTAGTGATGTCTGCCTTCCTCCTCTGTCCAGGCCCCATTCCAGGCTGGCCCTGCCTCACAGAGCTCTGAAGTCGTCCCATTAAGCATGTGATTCTTATCTACAGATTTTCAGCCCTGTGAGCTTCTTCTGCACTCAAAAGTCAAGAATACACTGTGTAGAAAATAACTGCTAGGGAGCCTTGGGCCCCATGTGGCAGGAACCCAAAGCTCTGGTCCCCACAGCTTCTGAAACCTTGCCCAAGGGATTTCAACCTGTTCTGGGGCTCAGCACTACAGCAGACACAAAACAGAACTGGTCTGAAGGAGCTGCGGGCAGAAAGTCACAGAATCAGAGCTAAGGGATGTGAAAGACTTCCTGACCCAACTCAGGAGCCTTTAAAAGGACCTGAGGAATGGGGCTCATCAGATCACACAGCAAGCAAGCAGCAAGCATGTCTGGGGCCAGGAGGACTGGCCACTGGGAAGCCATTGCTGGGGTGCTGCCCTGGGATGAGGTGCGTGGAGTTACCAGGAGCTCACAGAGACAAAAGCAACTCCAGGGTGTATGGATGGCACCAGGGTAGTGAGATGCAGAGGGAAGAGGTTCTGGGCAGAGCTCCCACAGGGAGCTGCATCCCCTGGGTCTGGAGACACCTGGACGCTGCCAGGTGGGAACTGTGCAAGTGACCAAATCCTCAGCATGCACAGGGCAGTGTGTGTGTGTGTGTGTGTGTGTGTGTGTGTGTCCCCGAGTCTGTGCATGTTCCCCGTCTTCATAGGTTGGAGCACCCACCAGTATGTGCAGAGGAAACAGAGTGGCGAAAGACTGCACCCCATGAAACAACACCCGAGCATTTGGATCATTTCCCTTTGGGAGAAAAAAAAGTATAAAAACGACAAAGCCACAAAGAAGAGGTTTGAGAAGGAAGAAACAAAATCTCACCCAGCCTTATTGCTCAACACAACAGCTGTCACCTTCCCGTCTGCTCTCTGTGCAAATGCAAGCACTGTTTGCACACCATGATCACATGTGTAAATCACCCTGAGATCTGTTTACTCAGCACAGCGCTAGCAGCTGGAGGCCGAGGCCCCATCGTGGCCCTCCTGGTTGGGCATCTGTGCCTCCTCCCAGCTTTTATAAAAGTTGGAATATTTTCTTCTTATGAATTATTCACTTTGCATAAATTCTCAGGCATGTAAGTCAAAGGTCAAGCATTATTTTTGACTCTTGATGTATATTGTTTTAAGAAAAGTCAAATCCCAAAATGTCCCAGCTAATGACATTCCCACCTGGAATGGGAAGGGTGGCCGCTTCCATGATGAAAAGCCACCGTGATGGCCCGGGCACAGCTGAACCTCCAGGCACAGCTGCTGCTCTGACTCTCAGGCAGGTCTCGCCACACCCCACATGCAGACAACGAGAAGGCCGTCTAACTCCAAGAGAAAGCACACAGTAGCCAACATAAAATGAGGCATGAAAGCAACTTTCTCAAATAAGGAGAAAAATCAAAACCAATCATAAATCTTTTATTTTTTTTTTTAAATGTGTTATGCTGAAAGACACATTAGCTTTATTTTTTATTTTTTTTTATTTTAACATTTATTGTGTGTGTGTGTGTGTGTGTGTGTGTGTGTGTGGCCAGCTCAGCCCACCAGGGGGCGGGGCTGGCTGGCATGTGGTGCTGGAGGATTGAACCGCGGTCCCTGTGCTTTGCCAAGCTTTTTCCAAGTAGGTGCTTTAGACCACTGAGCCATCTCTCCAGCCCCATAAATCTTTTAAAAAGCCATAAAAACCACGAATTTGCAAAATGGGAGGAAAATTCACAGCTTTTGCTCATCAGCTGATGCGCTCTCATAACCTTTGGGGCCTACATTGTTGGTTGCCTACCTGCTGAACTCCGCTCAGGGACAATTCTCTGTGTGCTCCTCTGTAGCAGGAATAGGAAGCTAACTCAGTCTTCCCTGTGGCACTGTGGGCCCACATTTATTACTTTGAATGGCTTATAAAAATTGCCTTCATCTTCACAACTTATCATTACTAATGTCACATAACACTGGAATTGTAAAATTGGGGAAAATGTGGCTCAATTCATTTTGCAGATGAGAGCAATTCATCTTCCTAAGCTGGTGCCCCCTCTATCACAAGTGTAAACTATAGTGTTTCCCTCACTCAGAAAAACACTTTGGCATTTACTTCATGTTTGCTGCACATAGTAAAAAAAAATCTAGGCCACCTGTATGTCAGGTCCCACACCTGCCCCCCTGCCGGCTACCGTGAGACACAGTCAAGTTGGGAGCAACTTCTCATCTGGGCATTCAGGACAAAGTCCAACTGCCAAGTTAGTCTGTAAGGGTGGGTATGCTCCCAAAAGCCACTCATGCAAAGCGTGGAGAGCAGTCATGCAGCCACGTGGGGAAATGACCATCAGAAACTTGGATGGAGCCCACCTAATCCAAACTAGATGGGTCTCTAAGTCCTCCAAGTCTCAGACACTTGTGGCCAGGCTGTAGTAGCAGAAGATGAGCCACCCGAGCCAATACGCTTCGGTTTCTTAGTTGCCCAGGTGACAGTTTCTGTCCCAGTTCCAGATGCTCCTGTCTCACAGAAATGGCTGGGCACTGTGATGCACATTGCATAAACCAATCTCCAACTGACAAGCCATTCTGTCTCTGTACTTCCTGCTTGCTTATCTCATACAAGCCCTAGAACACCAGAAATCGGGGCCTGATAATCTGGAAATGATCCCAGTCTTTGATCTGATGGCCTCAGACTAGGCTAGATCAGGCTTCCTTCTTCAGCTGGGTCACCAAGAGCCCATAGTACCATCACTGGGACAACTAGCACTCTTGCCTCTCCCGCCTTCTGTCAGGCACAAACCGCCGCCTGGGAGTCCCCATACCACTTCTGCGAAGAGACCTCCTC